GTCTCCGTCCATCTGAAGAATACTTCACGTCTCTGTTTTTGCTCTTTGGACTGTCGGGACGATTGGAGCGAGGGGAGCTGCTCCTCATCACAGCTTCACGCCTCTGCCTTTGGGCAGATTCACCAACAGACATCACTCACTCTCTGCTAGCGACCCATCCCAGTCACTGTTACTGCGCAGGAATCAAACACGTTAATGAGCCGATGATTTGGGAGGGGTTTGACTGTGGAAACGTGAAGGGAAGCAGAGCAGGCCTGGCAACTTTCAAGTACAGAATTAAGTCAAATAAACTGCAGGTTTTTGAACATGTATGAACACCAAACATATACGCAAACAATTTAAATGCAATACAATAATTATTTCATCATTTTCATTTAAAAACAGGAAAAAAAACCAAATCAAATAGAATGAAAGGCAGCAGAAAGAAGAAAAAAATCTATAACAAAGCTTTTTAAGAACTTTTAGAATGCCTTTGATCTTGAACTACATCAAATGGTGCAAATTTGAAAGAGTTTATTCTAAATATATCGATACGCAGCACTGAAATGCGGGTATGCACTCAATGTAAACAAAGCACCTGGCTGAAACAGCTAAAAACCACACGGACTTTCGACTCGTGATTAACCAAAGGTTGTAGTCAGTTGAATTTTAACTGGTTGTATTTTCTAGAAAAGTGTTTGAAATACATGTTTTTAAGTCTGTTTTAATTTGGACCTTGTTTCCTTATTTATACGTGAACAATCTCTTTTTTTCTGTGCAGATTTGACAAAAAAAAATGTGGAAAAAGAAACTTTTGATAAATCCGTTGTGGTTTCAATGCCAGGCAGGGTTGCCAGATAAGACATGACCAACTATGGCTGAAAAAAAAAAACATTCTCCGCTGCTACCGTTTCTTGTGATTTTTATTTATCTCCTGACAGCTCTTCATCACGTTTCAATGAGTTCTTGATTGTGCAATTAAAAAAATATATTTAACAGTTCCTTTGGAGAGGGTTAAAGAAGAAAGCCTCTTCTAAACAAACAGGCCAGATTAGGTTTGCAAAACTGCATGAGAATAAAAAAAAAACAAGACTTCTGGGACTTTACCTTAAATGAGACTAAAATAGAGGCAACAAAAAAACAAACACCTCATATCAGTTATAGAGCACGGTGGTGGAGTGTTGATGGTTTGGGATTGTTTTTGCACCTTGCAGCCATTAAATCAACGTCTTTGTGTATTATATAATAAACAGCTTTTCTTTGTATATCTTTAAAAAATGACAAAATGGAATCTGCTTTGTGTTTTTGCAAACTTTAAGTTACAAGAAGCGCGTAAACCTTTCTTTCAGAACCCCCCAGTGATTAATGAGTCACATTTATTTAACAAGCGCTCACATTTAATTACTGTAAACCTAAATGTGAAGCCACCAAAGTAACAGATCAAGTTCAGGACTAATAYACTTATAAAGATCCAGTCTCGTTATGACGAGACTAATTTTAGCCCCTAATGAAGCTCGGACAGCATTTGGTGTCAACTTTTAATAGCTGATTTCATTTTTTTGTATGTGATCTGAATTTAAAAACTAACAAACTAGAGCAGAAAAAATAAAATCTAACGAAGAAAACTCATTTATTTATTCTTGTTATCTGTCATTTCCCGCTCATTAAACTGCCTTTTCTATCTTGTAGATCTGGAGACAAGTTTCACCTTAAACCAACATGAGATTTTATCAGCTGATAACAGCCTTTTTTATTCTGCACCTGAGGTCATCTACATGCCTGGGTGGTCCCTGAGAGTCTCTGGACCCCCGGCCTGAGGCAGTGAGATTTCATCACCTGACAGTTTTCTACCTGGAGCCATGCCATGTAGAACCAACCCCACCCTGATCCACTGTGCCCTCTTTTACCCTGACACTTTTTAGGACTAAATTACTCCATCTACAGAAACACCAGTTCCAATAATCACTTTATTGTAGTTTTTAATGTAAATTTAAACAATTAATCAACAAAGAACTGAACATTAATTCATGACTTGCTTCTGTTTGATTGTTTTCTGTTCATCTTTTGTGTTTACCTCCTTCAGATGCAGAGTCCTGAGCAGCAGAGAGGCGCAGGAACCAGCCCACCATCACCCATGTCAGCATGTGGACATCCATCACGGTGGTTCTGAAGAGGGGTCCACTCAGACAGAACAGATCACAAATCTTCCGACTTCAACCCGACATTTACCACAGCCCGGAGAACACTCCCTGTCAGTAAATCACTGGCAGAAGCATAATTTACACGAGTCACATCCCAGCTTGCCTTTCCTCTTTCTGTCTTTAAATTATCTCCTTATGTGACTTTCCTCCTCCTGAACACGACCAGCCGAGCCGAGCGGTACCTGCTGCGGGCTCAAACTGAAGCCAGAACTTCAGAGCCCGTCCGCTGAATCCAACGCGCTTCTCCCCCCGCTCAGGGCAACAAAGGTCAAGCCCGACGGATTTAATGTGGAAAGACCCGGAAATGGACTTTCAAAGTAAAACTAAAAGTGCCAAACGCTTAAATTATAAAACTGTGGAAAAAAGCTTACATCAGCAAAACCATAGATAAAAGTGTTTGCTGGGAATAAAACATACAATAGTGATCAAATCAAAATTTACATCCACGATGAAGAAATAATTCAAGTTTCATTGACAAGTTTTTTTGGGTCTGGATCGATGAAAAACTTTGCTGGAAACACCATATTGGACGTGTCTGCAAATAGAATTGCCAAATCTATTGGAATTTTAAGCAATATTAGACATTTTGTTTATAAATCTTGTTTTTTAATCCTATAATTTATCCTTAACTCACCCAGTGCTGGCTCTAGCCATTTTGGTGCCCTGGGCCAGTGTTTCCCAAAGTTGGGGTCGGGACCCAAAGTGGGGTCCCGAAACATCAAGGTGGGGTCCTGAAAAGATTTTCTGAATTAATTACATTTTTGCCTTAGTTGTTACAAAGGAGTGAGGTTAGTATATTTAAAATGGATTAATGTAGTATAAAAATACCGTTACTATGCCCATGTTAAGTTGGCCTGATACAAATGTTTATCATCCAGAAACAGTTGGGGGCACAGGTCTCTGCTACTGTTATTTTGTGGGTCAAAAGCTGAAAAGTTTGGGAACCACTGCACTTTGGTTCCCAAAGTTGGGCTTGGGACCCAATTATGGGTCATGAAGCACCTTGGATAATCTCCAGAAATCAATTTAAAGGGTAAAAAAATAATTGTTGATGTAATATTTTCCCTATAACTATTACAAAAACACWAAATAAGTATAAATAAGTATTTATATTTGTGTACAAGCTGTTTAGATTGTCAAAAAAACTGTGTTTTTAGGGTTATTAACAAAATTTATGTATTCAAACCAGTAATATTTGGGGTCACAAGTTCTTGCCATGGATACTTTGTGGGTCAGAAGATAAAAAGTTTGGGAACCACTGCCCTAGGCTACTGGTTCCCAAACTTTTCAGCTTTTGACCCACAAAATACCAGCAGAAGAGACCTGGGACCACAGCTGTTTTTGGCTGATAAACATCGTTTTCGTGTCAAATAAACAAGATCATAGTCACAATATTTTTGTCCATTTTAAGTACACAAACGTAATGCTTGCTTTCACAGTATCCTTATTACCATGTAATTACAATGTAACAAAAAATGTGATTAAATGTAATTACTACCTTATTACCATGTAATTACGTGGTATTATGGTACAAAAAAAACTACTGTTAGTAAAACTACCTTTATCAGGTAACTACAATCAAATTACTATTCAATAGTAACTCAACACTATATTTATGACCAAAAGGATGCTGCTAAATTTTGGGGTTAGTGGTTAATTGCAATAAAATATTACTTTAAAACTGTTCAAATTACCTACTACTTATTTAAGTGTTACATAGTGAATTGTAATATCTTACCAGGTAAGTGATACATTACTGCAATTAATTATATAGTAAAAGTGTACCCTATTTACCATGTAATTACATGGTAATAAGGTAGTAATTACATTTAATTATATTTTTATTACCTTGTAATTTCACGGTGATAAGGGTACCGTAAAGAAAGCGTTACCCACTAACTTTACTCTTTTGTAACCACAAAGGCAAAAAAATGTTGTTTGTTGTCATTTTTTAGTGTAATTAATTCAGAAAATCTTTTCAGGACCCCACCTTGATGTTTCGGGACCCCACTGTGCGTCCCGACCCCAACTTTGGGAACCACTGCCTTAGGCCATGACATTATTCTCCTTT